CCTAAAACATGGAGACTACCAACTAATTCCCAAATCTCCTAGAAACTAATTGACCAAATTCTCAACAGAAATCAAATGAGAAGATTCATTGTGCTTGCATGTAAGACTCACCACATCATACAAATCCCATTTATATATACAACTTATAAAAATTGTTCAATCTAAATAAGCCTATATTTAGAATTATTAGTGATTCAAATGCGCGAATTTGAGAGAAGAAACTGAAAATTAGATATTAGTTTCAGTGTCGTTGCATGCAAATAAAGATTTTTTACCTTTTCACGACGTATCCTATAGAGAAATCACAAATACATATTCATAAATACAACGTATAGAAGCTGCGACCCAAACTAACAAACTTTGCTATGGAATTATCGATAAATCAAATGACAAGATTGAATGAAAGAAACAAAAACCTAAAGATCGGGTAATAGGCTCAATGTCCTTGCATACAGAGCTCAAACATCTCTTGTAGCATATTCTAAAGAGTAATAACAGGTATCTATCCATAAACGCCATATATGGAACCTGTTGCTCAATCTAACAAACTTTGGTTTGAAATTGTCACTGAATCAAAGAAGAAATATTGAGAGAAGAAAAGATGTCTAATAGATCGGGATAATTGGTGCATGGTATTTACACACAAGACTCAAAGCATATCATGCATCATATCTTAGGGAGAAATAATTGGTATCTGTCCAAAATAATTACATACAAAGACCACTTTTCTATATAACGAGCCTTGGTTTGGGATTATTTGTAGATCAAATGAGAAATTAAGGAAAAAAAAATTTTGTTAATTGGTTCAGTGTCCTTACAGACTACTAACCACACCATTCAACATATCTTAAAGAGAAATCACAAGCATCTATCTGTACCACTATATATTAAAATTTTTAATTGTTATAAAAAACCTTCTATAAGAATATCGATAAATAGTGATAAATTAAGAAAAGATATTGGGTATTTGGTTCAATATCCCTGCATACAGGGTTCAAGCACATCATGTAAGATATCTTAAAGAGAAATCACAAAATTCACAAATACTACGTACAAATCCCGTTTAATCGTGTTTATTACCACACAAATGACAGATCACATATCACAACATCAGAAAATTGGAAAATGATGATGCATGGCATCAATTATCAGGCATGTAGCGCCCCTTTGCACAAAAGAGCCACCTTAAACTGACCGGAATTAGTCGAGGCATTACCTGTTTTTCATTGACGAAATAGAACAAAATATAAAAATAATTCTCAATTCCTAAAGAATAAAGTTATTAATAATTCATAAGTAACACATTTAAAACTGATGCTATTTTAAAGAAAAGTAATAAATATTAACGGATAATTAGCTTATGAGATCTATTCACCTGATATAAAACTAATAATAACGAGAGGGAAAAAGATTGCATGATAATATAACAAATGAAGGATGAGAATTCAGAAAAATAAACTTGAAGTACAAAGAGAAGGATGGCTGATATAAGAACTGGGTGAGAAAGCTAACATCTTTGGAAGAAACGAGCTCGTTAGGTACCGACAAAATTTGACATGATCCTTTTACATGACATGTTAGATACACAATAATGCATAGGTTAGCTCTAGATTTTCTAACGATTAGAAACCATAATTTTATTAAATATGTAAGTACTATGTTATTTTAGAAATCTATTATTATACTTTTAGTTATTTTAAAATTATATTTTTATTAGTATTTTAGTTTTCTTATTTGTATTATTAGTATTATTTATAATCTTATTAGTATTAATATTTTCTACTTTATTAGTCTTAATATTTCTAATCATATTAGTCTTAATATTTCTTGGTTTAATTTTACTCGAAAAATACTTATTTGACACTCTATAATTTCTTTTATAATCACATTGAGATCACCATTAAGTTATTTAGTACCATTTGAAATTTCTATGTACTTGACTTTGTGATGCAATCAAATCTTAAATATGATGCTTCAACTTCTTTACATATGATGTCTACAGACTTTAAGTGTGATATCTAGGGTTTTTAGTCTTAATTCCAAGTAGGAAAACTAAGCATAATTTATCCTTACATTAGTAGGTGCCAATGCTAAAAGAATTTTAAATCTCTAAAATCCCAAAATTCTATGACCAACCAGGCTCCACTCCATATGGGGGAAAAAGAAAGCCCACACACAAAAATTCTAAAACTGCCAGCAGTGCACCCACCAGCCAACACTGTCAGTGACACCACCGCTACCATAACCTCAGGAGACCCCGACCAGTAGAGCCTCGAAGCCCTACTGAGAAATTCCTTTCAAAAACGTGCTACTTGCTGATGCATATTCTCCCAGTCATTGTCTCTCTCAATCTTGTAATTCCTCACAACCTTGTCTTACAAAGACCTCCTATCAACAACTCCCACCTCTAGTTGAGTTAACCACAAAACGCTCGTCAGGAAGCCAACATGTGAGCCTCATGTACGTATGACCTACAACTGGCCCGTATTTGTTTTCCCCCTCTTATACTCTTTTTTGTGTGGTTTAGATCCATTCTAAAGAATTTTTCAATGATTTTGTTTTTACACCCTCTTTACAAAATAATATTCTAGTATTGTGAAAATCTTTAAACATATGAAATCCTGAGGAAGAGAATAAGTAATCACTTAGAGAAATATCAAATGACAAATCTTTCTTGATCGTAGCTAAGTGCAACCAAGCTGTCAGAGTGAAGGAAGATTGGAAGCATTCTCCAAGTTTTCAGCTCTAGTCCATTATGAAAATAAAAGTAACTTGTTAGTCATGAAGATCGTTGAATCTTGTTTTAATCTCCACATCCACAATCATCCAGACTTGGCTTGGAAGGATCATATGAAATTTGGTAATTCAACAAAGTCTCATTTCTATTTGTCATGGTATCTACAATGATTCACTCTTTTGTTATATAATCCTATAATGTCCACACATATTCTTCCAAGTCAACATTGGCTTTATGATCGATATATTTAACATGACGAGACTACCAAACTTATTGTTTTATGCTTGGTATAAAAAATGTAGTTTTAAAGCCTATCATAACAGAATTGTCTGCAGTGAAAGAAAAACAGACGGAGTTTCACAGAACGGCTCTCATAGTGAACCAACCTGACTCTTCATCTCTAAACCAGCCCAACTGTTCATCTTCTTCCTCCCTCCGATGCCATTTACAGTTGAAACATCATTTCGGCAACAATAAAAACAATTGAAAGGAGTTTTATGTACCATTTGGTGTATATAAATAAATAATTGTAAGGCTAAAGAAAGCATGTAATTTTTTGACATGAATCTCAAATAGTATTTATCTCTCTTGATCTATTACTTTTCTTCTCTTCTCTTCTCTGTTATCTTTCTCTTTTTCCCTTCTTTTCTCTCTCTATGGCTCATTTCTTTCTCTAAAACCAGTCTCTCTCTCTCTCTAAAATATTCTCTTCTTCACATATCTATATTCTCTCCCTCTCTCTCAAACTCTCTTTTTTCTCTCCCCGACACCCTCTCTTCTCTCTTTCAAAAATCTTCTTCTTTCTTTTCTAAAATTCCCATTCTGTTCTCTCTATTTCTTTAATTTCAAAATCTGCTCCAATCTTTCAATTGTATCAAAATTACCCACAAATACTTAAAACTTTCATTTACACTCTTGATATTTCTTTAATTTCCGTATTAACTCCCATATTTCCAAGTTACCCCAAATTACCCCAAATCACTTGAATTCAATATATTTTTAATTTCCGGTTTTGGTGAATCACATGTCCAATTCGGGTCTTAACAAATGTATGAGTAAATATAAATGTTCAAAGATACCCACAGTCAGTGAAAAAAGATAGAGAATGAATCTATTAGAATTGAGAAATGAGAAAAACTGTGATGTCATCTTAAGAGTAAAAATGTTGAGATTTCTCAAGATTATTCACTTTTTAAAGAGAGTTCCATAGAAGTTCAACACAAGGGGTTCCGCTTGTAGCACAAATTGGATCTAAGTCAATAATTGGATCTAATAATATTCAACTCAATGATGAAGTTGAAGCACAAATTGGTCAACATGTTAATTTTATCATACCATCAAAATTTCACACTTGTAAATGATTTTGGATCTACATTATGTTTGCTATTGCAGAGAATGACCAAGCATAGAGTTTGTTAAATTTTTATAGGGAAGCTCGATGATCAATATTTTATGTCACTTGCCACTTTAAAATATTGTAGATGATGTTTTCCCAATAAAAAGGAAATGATGCAATAAATCATAAATTTTATTAACATAAAAACTATTTTACTATTTAGAAATCTATTACTATAGTTTAATAATTTTAGAATTGGTTCTTACCGGTATTTAATTTTCCTATTTGTGTTAGTAGTATTATTTCTGATCTTAAGTATTTTGTTATGATCTCTACCAATGGATTTAGTCACGAGTCCGTGAACATAAAAATCAGTGGGCATTTGGAAATGTTTGTGAGTTTTTCTTCCCTTGCTTATCTTGAAATATGATTTTCATGGCTTGTAAAGAGAGAATCTTACAATCTCGAGTAAAAAATACTCAAACTTCCATAAATTTTATTCAAACATAAATTTGTTTTCAAGTGTTAGAATATTATAGAATATTCTTTATAGATAATAGTATGATTATCTTTTTAAATATATTAACATAATTAGAAAGAAAATTAATAAGATAATTTATGTTGGTTACTATATATGAATTTGTTTGTATGTATATATACCCCTCCTATTTAAATAAGATACAAAAAATATTCAATATTTTTCTTAACTCTTTACATGGTATCGGAGTTAGGTTTAGGGTTTTAGATATCATATTGGATTAGACTAAAAGAAAGGTTGAATAATCCATTCCCGATGCTGGAGGAAATCGACCAGCGACCTCCAACTAGTTTAGAGTGCGGCCAAACGATGGTGTACACAGAAGAAGCGGAGGAAGTCGTTTTCTCGGTTGTTTGGTTCCGCGAGTGTCGGGTGTGCCGGAGGAAGTTGTTTCGCGTGCGTGTTGAGTTCCGCATGAAGACAGAAGCCGAAGAGAAGCTTTGTCGGCCGATTCTGAGCGTGAAAACAGAAGGCCGAAGAGGAGAAGGTTGAGGTGGAGCAGAATGCGCGATAGCAAGCAATTTTTTGTTCTCTGGCATGATTTGGGACAGTTTTACGAGCTTCTTTCCGGATTTGGGTGTACATTTGGGTTATGTAGTGATTTCCGGTCAAAGAGAAGTTGTTTGGTAGTTTTCGGCGGTTGTGCGTGGGCTTATAATGGTGGTGCATACGGCGGTGTAGAATCTTTGGTGGTGGCAGTGAAGTTCTAGTTTGTCGGTAGCTGTGCATGAAGAAATATTATGTTTTTTCAGAGTTTCTGATTTATTTGCAGTATTTTTCGTGTATCTCTAATTGCTGTGTTTTGGATATTTTCGATAATATTTTTGTGATTTCTAAATTAAAATAGATGATAACAAATTCTCTATAAGTGAGATAGTCTCAACCATGTCAAAGATCACTGAACATAAATTGAATGACACAAAGTATCTGCAGTAGAGCAAGACTATTAAGTTTTATTTACGCAGTATTGACAAGAATAATTACCTGATTCAAGACACTCTCACTAATAGAAGTAAACAAGCTTGGTTAAGAGGTGATGCATG